TACAAAGAAAAATCACCATTTTTTCTCAAAAGGTTACATGATTACTTGAGTGAGGGTTGATTACATATCGAATACAAAAGTAGTGTACACTGTCCCTATTCACGAGTTCCCTAAAGCCTTGGCATCATTTTGTTAGTAATAATAATAATAATAATAATAATAATAATAATAATAGTAAAAGGTTTATGTTATCTTATAATATTTGTAACTTTAGGTTGATTAGGAATAATATTTTAGATACAATTATTATTATTAAATCATTAAAATGTCTCTCATGTTTATAAACATGCATACAGATTTTTGTTCATATAATTGGACGAAAGAGACCTTCCTGTCCATTTTTAACTGAATTTTGTATCGAAATGGCATTTTGAAATTTTTCTCATCTAAAAAAACACATTGCTACATTAAAATGTCATCCTTCTCTGTCTGCAGGTTAGCAATACCTTTTTAAGTTGCTGTTGTTCATCAGCGTCAATACACACATACCCCCTCTGTACCACCCACATCCACAGGTGTTAGGTGGACCTGTTGTGGAGTTAGTAACTCGTGTTTGAAACCTCATTCTGCTACATGTGTGTGGGACCTTGCAAATTATCACCTAACTTTTCTCTGACTCCGTTTAGTTTTCTAAAATCCTTGCCTTCCGACTCAGTCAGCAGTCAAAAAATTATTTTATTTTTTGAAATCTGTATATCTTCATGAGAAAGTTGTTTTTGTTTTTCTGGTTCTTTAATAGTTTTAGCTATAGCTACTTCAGCATATGTTTATGAGATTATTTGAATTACTATCTGAAATGTACTTAGTACAGCGTCTGGCACATCTATGCATGTGCCTTGCTGTTTTGTTGTGGTTTTATGTTCTTGCTCTTATTTCTACAGATAATCTTGTATCAATGGATGTGTAGTTAGAATGAAACATCTTTTTTGGTTTGTTTCTCTGATTTTTCTTTTCTTTTCTTTTCCTTTCTTTTTCCTCCCTTCCTCCCTCCCTTCCTTCCTTGCTTCCTCCCTCCCTCCCTTCCTTCCTTCCTTCCTTCTTTCTCTCTCAGAAGTTCCTATCTATGAGAAATAGATGCAATGAGATGAAATGCAGTCTGTTTGGGAAAGGATGTACTTAAATAGTTTGAAGTAAAGAATAGGAACTTATATTATCATCTTGAAAATGTTTTAGAGTTTATCCCAACCCTTCTTCTATTCAACACAGTTACTGCATATCATCTGTGGGCATTGGGGACATAAAAGAGTCCTTGTCTCAGCATCTGATGAGATTGAACGAGTGTAACAGTTATACCAGGGGAGGAAATGTGATCAATTAAGTCCCCCCCGCCAAAAAGGAAAAGCTTTCAAACAGATTGTTTACATGAGCTGATGTTGGTAAATGCAATGGGTGAATTGTTAGTTAGGAAAGCCACTTGGCCTTATGTCATGAAAGAATGACTTTATTTCTTTAATCTTTGGTTCTTTTGTTCTTTGTGTATTCCACAGTGTTTTCTGAGCCCTTACTTTATACCAAATATTTTACCAGTATTTAGAGACATGGAGGTAAGCAAAAGAAACAAGAGTTTACTCTCAAAGGGCTTGTATTCCATAGGATGAGACAGAGAATAAAGGATTTAATAAATAACTTATCTATAGACCAAGTCATTGCAAGTTAAATAACCACAGAAATATGGTGGGGAGTAAATGAAATGCTGGTGGGGACTTTTTAAAGTAAGATAGTCTGAAAAAGGCCCATTTGGAGCTGAAACTTAAAGAATGAGAATGAACCAGTCATTTGAAAATCTGCAAAAGTACCTTCCGGGAAGTGGGTGGAACAAGAGGAAAAGATGTTGAAGGTGGGGATGGTCTTGAAGTGTGCGAGCAGAGGTCCTGCAATGTGAGCAGACCTCGGAACCGCAGGTAATTCCAGTTGGTGGATGATGCAGGTGCTACTGATTTGGGGCCCACACTATGAACACCGCTGTGCTAGAGAGGAATTAAAAGGAGGAAGGGTGGCTTCAACACTGTGAGCTGGGTGCCAGGAGAAGGAAATGAGGCTGGAGGAAGAAGCAAACACCCTAGGATCTCAGCCTGGAAAGAAGGCACCAGTGGAGTCTCAGATCGATCAGAAGTCATTGCAGGTCTTCACGGAGACTGTTCTTATTCTTAGATGATTACAGTGTAGTTATCTGATTCTGCATGGCGTTCTTCTTTAATGCATGTGAAACAAATTCCATGGGATTTGGAAATAACCTACAGTTCCCTCTGTATTTGCTTCCTGAGCAACCTTTGACAAATGGAACAGATTGCTCACTTTGCAGAGCACAGACGTTCTCCCACGCTCAGGTTTTGGAAGTATGAGACATAGGCAGATCAGGCGGCTGCAATTCAGATCAGCTCAACATTAACAGAAACACTTTCTCGGCATCTGGCACGGTGCACTTAGTGCAGCAAGGACATGATGAAAGCATACGTGATTTCTAACAGCAAGCAGCATTTAGTCTTTTGGGGATAAATAGCAAAAAGCCCACATGAGGCAATTAGAGGATTATATAAGCAGAGGACAGTGCAATGTGTAATAACGTGTTAAATGGAATATTATCATATGCAAAAATTAATGAGACAGATTATAAGTGCTGTGGCCACTAAGCAGGGGGAGAATTGTTGGAAGTTACTGGGGATGTTTCATGCGGGGGAGGCATTTGAAAATGGTTAAAATTTGGCTAGAGGGGAGGGAAATGCATGGAAAAGCCTTTGCCTTCAGTTTCGATCAACATGCAAAGAATTATGTTTTCCCAAAGTTTTTGCTGTTCTGCCTTTCAAGGAGAAAGCCTTCGATGTGTTTCTGATTCTGAGTTCAATTGAATTACCAGCCCATTGTCTGGTGAGAGCTGTTTGGTGAGGGAGCTCGTGGACTTCTGAGAAGCTTTTATCCTTTGAAAGAGGCTGTCCTGATTTGCCATTGTTAATGAAACTTGTACTACACAATGCTCGAGTTTAAGACCCACTGAGAACATGACCACGTACCTCCTTTCATCTCCACATGGGGGAACCACGTGGCATACCCGACCTGCAGAAGCCCAGCAGCAGGCTGCTCCCCAGCGTTCGTAATTGTCTTGAACTCCCTTATGGCACATCTTAAGAGCTTTGCACTGGAAGTGATGCACTGGACTGCTTTCACACCTCATGAATAAGTGTAAAATGTCTTGCACCCAGAAGACAAACCCTTTGTAGCCACGCATCTTTCAAACATGCATCCTCAGGACCCTGCATACTTATGTTTCAATGTCCTGTACCTGTGTAAGGCTTAGCTTGGAATTTGTGACATGTGTAGTTAGGGTAATGGGTATATTTTCACTCTGTCAATTTTTTTTAAAAGTCAGATCCTAACTAATACATATAGTGGCTCAAAAGTTTCACCTCCTTTGCTGAGGCTGTCTGGGAAATTCAGATTATCCTGTATATTAGGATATTTTCTATTAGCTCAGGTAATTCCAAAGGCTCTTTAATCCCAAGGTTGAGGGAAAAGAGAGAACTGAAAAGGGGAGAATGGTGGAAAGAGGCCCGGCTGACCAAAAAAGAGAGTGTAACGGCAATTTGAAAGACAGAGAGTGCCAAACTTTTTCACTTGCTCATTTGTATCCAGAAAAGATTTTGAGAATGCCTTCCAAAAGGCATACATATTTATGTATTATGTACATGTATCATTATAGTTATGTTACTTATATATGAAAGACACACAAAAATAGATATAATAAAATGTAATTTTTAAAATGAGTGTAATTTCTAATACAGTCATATCTCAGTACTTGTTGACTTCAGAATTCATCAAACCCTGAACTCATCGCATTTTCATGAGAAAAAAATGTTTCAGCACTGGGCTCTTGCTCACTACTCAGTGCCCTGCTCTCACTATGAAACAGAGGTCGAGGTGTCAGTGACACAGTAGCTCACAAACAGCTCACAGTACTCTTTGGTTTCGGCACTCGTCACAAGTTCCGGAACAAATTAACAATGGGTACCAAGGTATCACTGTACTTTCTTTCCAAACTTCATGTAACTCTCTTTTGTATCCTCGAGTGTATGCCCACAGTGTTTGAACACTCCTGTGTAAACCGGTAGCAGCAGCACGGTGCAGTGTACCGGTTCTCAAATGTCGGTCTACATTGCAGTTTCCTACAAGCTTATGAAAACACAGATTTCTGCCTCCCCCTCACCAATGTCCTAATTCAGTGAGTCTGGGGTGGGGCCCAAGAGTTTGCATTTCTAGTAACTTCCTGGGTGATGCTGGTCCAAGACCTCGTACTTTGGGAGCCACTGATGGAGGTAACTGCTCAGGTCTCACAGTTAGTCTACCAAAGTTGGACATCAGGGTCCTTTAGTTTCCAAGTGTGTGACTTTGGGCAAGTTATTTTACCTCTCTGAGGATGGTTTTTTAATCTGTGAAATGACAGTTACATAGCTACTTAAGTCTTAGAGTCAATGGAGAGCTTAATGAGGCAACGGAGACAAAGTACTTAGTACCCAGTGCTTATTACCTACGGAATACCAGTGCACGTTGGCTGCTATCTCCTTCTCCTCTGAATTATCATGAAACATCTCTTCATTGTAACAAAGTAGACTTTAGGGACTTTTGCCATTAATCCATGAGAATCATGGGAACATGTTCTGCTTTACCATTACACGTTTAGGAAGACCACACTCCAAGCAAGAGCTCTTTCTAGTTAAACGGTAGTGACGAGGCTCTTCTGCAAAGTCTGCCTAAGAGAGAACAGTGTGTTCAGCCCTCTCCCTTCTGTGTGTAACTGTTGACAGTGTGTGGCTAAGTGTATATTTCTGTCGTCTTTTGTATATACCAAATTCTTGTTGCATGATATAGAGTTGACATTTTTGGTGGTTGTGTCTTTGAATGTTTTGGGGCATGAGAATAGTACATTCAAGTGATTGCTTTAATTTGATGAATTGTTAACACTTCTCTCTCTATTTTTTTTCTCTTCCCTCTGTCTGATACATTACTAGGACCAAGTACCACCTGCCAGGAAGACTCGTGCGCCAACCAGGGGGTCTGCATGCAGCAGTGGGAAGGCTTCACCTGTGACTGTTCCATGACCTCATATTCTGGAAACCAGTGCAATGATCGTGAGTACAACCTTTCCATACTTGGATTTTTTTTCAGTGACTTTAGAGGTTTAGAGAAACCTTAGGGGTGTTATGTGAAAGGATGGCTCTTCTGAAAGATTCATTAGCAGTTTTCTCCTCCAGAAATGGGGAAAATGAAGGACAAGTGCTCTTATGGGAAGAGCAAAGAGACATTTCTTGCTCAGCAACACTGAATGTTTTCCTAGTTGCTTATTCCCAATGTTTGCCTTTTAGATTAGATCACCTGTCACTGAAAAACAAAACAAAAGAATTCAGGTAATATTTGTGTTCTAAGAAGCCCAGTTTTCATTAATTAAATCATCTGGATAACCATTTTGAGACTCCTATTTGCATTGCATATAATTTAGAATATGTTTAAGGAATGTATTGATAGTAACTATTTTTTAAAGAAAAATTCTGAACTTAAGAGAACTTCTTAGACCTTTCCAATGATGAAGATGTTCAGATCTCATTTATTTCCCAATTAGAAACATTTAAAGCATCCTCAGTGAGCTTTCAAATATAACACAGAGATTCTGGAATCTCTTGGGAAATTTGTTGATATCTATTATATATATATGTGTGTGTGTGTGTATATATTTTTTTCTGTTTATATATTTGGTATATATATATATATATATATATATATATATATATATATTCTGTTTATGTAAATCTACCTTGTGAGTACATTTGTATGTGTATATCTGTGCTCTTGGTTCATGTTGGTAGAGAGCCGGGTGTTACCCTCGTCCCGTCTCGATGCTTCAGGCACATCAGCTGATTTGGCCCTAGAAGAAGAGGGATTTCTTGAAGGTGATCCCAGCACTGCTGGTGGAGATACTTTAATTCTGTGGGAATCTGTAAACTGGGCCTCCACTTCCTTCTTATGTTATTGTCTTCACATGGCCACTTTCAAAGACGAACAAACACTTGAAATTTCTGGATACTTATTGCAAAGGGATTCGTTAAAAAGCCCTGACTTGGTGTGTCCCGCTGACCTGCTTGTCTAAATGCAGGCTTCATGGTAGGAGTTTGTTTTACAGTCTGAATCAGGCAGTTGTCTTCTTGGATTTACAAAAAAAATTAAATTAAAAAAAGACACATGACGGTATCTGAGCGAACAGAAAGGCCGTGTTGTGGTTTGCCCACGTGGGAGGAGGTGTCCATTACAGCCCCATCTCTGGCGCCTATTTGATTTTCCTTGATTTCTTATTGCTCACCGTTTTTCAGGTGTCTAGTCATCTCTTATTCTGGTTTTTCACTTTTCTCATAGCTTTTTGTCTTCATATGATCTGTCAGTCTCTTAAGATATGCAAAGGAGAAACAAGTAAGGAATCTGGCTATGTAGAGAGAAAATTTTTTGCTGCTCATTGATCTAAACGTAAGCATGTGCCTGTATATCTGTCACGCAAAGGACACCCTGTCTGCAGAAGGTTTTGGCACCAGATTGTTCTTTCCGAGTGTTTGGTACTGTTGAAAGTCCTGTTTCTGTATTTATGATTTGGAGACCCCTTCCCCTCTGAAACGGGCAGTCATGGACTACCCAGAGTACCTTGGAAATTGTGCTGTATGCTTTCTATTCCCTTCAATTTGTCTGTGTAGGACTCAATAGGAAGTCCTATTTTTTCCCCTAAATGGTGGCCTGATGTTTGTCTATCCTCACAAGTTTAATCCACATCACACATACACACCACTCCCAGTAGGAAACGGACTGCACACAGACAGGCAGAAAGGTAAGTTACTTTCACAGCGGTGAACATGCACAGTCTTCAGAAGGTATGTACGTATTTTTCTTTCATTGACAAATTTCTTTCTGTCCTCCAGGCAAGGCATTGTTTTTTGCTGAAAACCAAGCAGGATTCTTTCCAGCTTTCTAGGATTGTTTCTGATCTGTAATGTCTTGGTCCAGAAGGGGCACTATCACGTCATCTGACTGGAGCAATTTGCCAATATGGAATGAAGTTTTAGGGTGAGGATGGGAGAGGTCAGCCTTCTTTTGTGGCAGTAGAGTCTCGTCCTTCAAAAATGTTTCCAAGATATCCAGGCTTAGTATAGTATATTTTGCATTTTTAGTCTATAAACAATGCAGTTGAATTTTTCATTGTAGAAAACCTCTGAGCCAAAATCACTAAAAGAACCTGATTGCCTAGTCCCTTCTTACAGAATGGACCAGGTCTTCTGTGATTGGATGGCTGTATGGATGTGGGAGCAAGTGCACTTTCATTGGAGAAGGTGAGGAACATATAGAACTCAGATCTACAGAATTGCAGGATCTAACTAAAAAGTTTGTATATAAACTTTTTTTTGCATGAAACAATAAGCATTTACTGTTGTTCATGAGGCTATGGGCAAACTTTTAATGAAACCCAACTAAATATGTAAAAATGGTAGGCCAATTGTTACAATGGATGCCTCTTTAATGATTAACATTTAAAGTATAATATTTAAGAGGAACTTCTCTTTTGGAAGTTCTCTTTTGGAACTTCTCTTCTGGTATCAGAATCAGGTTTTCTTTCCCTCCTAGAAAATCAGCTTCACAACTTTCCATCGTAGATCATTATTTTCTATGTCAACATTGACCCCTAGAGTTGTAATTTGCTGCTTTATCTCACAAACATGTTCAAAAGGAAGTTACCTGGCTAACATTCTATGTGCCTCTCTATGTTAGTGACTTCTTGGTAACTGCTTGCACCAGGAGTTGAGCATTAGCTCTCTGTGTCACCAGCAGAACTGAAAGAGACTCATGTTCATCATTGGCAAAAGCAGTGGGAGGAAAACGCAAGACAGGGGAAATGATAGAGTAAGTGACTAGAAGAAGCATCAGGGTAAAGAAGGGGCAGAGAGACACGCAGGGGTTGAGTCTTCTGGAAGAGCACAGAGGCCATGGCTGTGCTCACAAGCGCAGCCCACGGGGCCTGGCTTTGATCTCAAGAACAGAACCAGGGCATGGTCTTCTGAGTGGAGTGCCATCCAGGAAATCTGGCCTTGACCCAATTCATGGGACTAGCATATTCTGTAGAATGCTGTATGTGTCTAAAATAAATTGTATTTTTTAAGATGCTGTCATAAAACCACATGAATTCAGTAGCGATTCAATCTAATGACAAAAGACATTTATTTTCTGGGTGGGGGGAAGGTTTGGATTTCTCACTTTCTATAAGCAGTTTCTCAGGCCAGCAGATTGATCCTTAATTATTGGAAATGAGAACATCTCATTTTATTATGGCACATCCAGGAATAGAAAATTGTTCGATAGGGAAATGGCTATGCTATGATATTTTCCAAAACAAAGTACTCAGTTCATCATGTATAGGAAAGTTAATTATATCTGGGGATGCCTTGCAAGTTTTTAAAGAAATATTTGCATTTTACAATCTTCTTCCCTTTTCCTAGCATTGGTTCTGTTACTTGCGACCTTTGTTATTGATTTGTTTGCCTGTTTGCTCAATTTGGCATTTGCTTGACAACTTGGAGTTGCTGTCCCATAGAGGTGGCCTCCACGAGTAGAGTTTACATTCAAGAACTATATCTCATAGAGTACGAGTAGACCAAGCCTGGATGGCTTTAGCTCAGTTTATCATTTTCTGTGAAAGCATGGTGGACTGTTGAAGGCAGTAGGGGTGAATTCCAGGTTCATTCTTACAAAGACGGATGCAAAGCTGACACAGTGGTTGTGAAGGCATGGCATGTATTCTGCAGCTGGTTACCTTGTATAAGAATATTCTCTTGTTTCTGGATAGAAACAAAAATCTTCTGATTGGAAACTAAAGTATACTAGATTTAGCAATTGTCATATAGTCTTATGACATGACTTTCCATTTCCTGTTATAATAAAATCATAGGGAGTTTCCTTTAGGTGAATTTTAGGGCCATTTACAATGGAATAAACTATCTCAGAGGCAATTTTGAGTTCATCTGGGATCCCATAAGGACACACAGATGACATTTGCCACAGAAAAATTTTAATTTCTTTTGAGAAATTGAAACTGAGAGGATCGACTTCTTACAGGGTGCATACTGCCTGAACACCAATCTAATGACACAATATTGGGGTTACATCTTATGAACAACAAAACAGGTGGAATCTTACAAGTGTTCTTGCAGGGGGATTTTTTTTATATTGGATTCCCATTAGTATTTTAAATCAGGATTATCTGAGTAATTTTGGTATGTTGTAGCCATTATACCAGCATGCAAATTGAGAGTTCCTTTTCTATATAGTATGGTAGTGCCACCCCCATGGACAGCCCTTGTTGAGTCCCCTTCCCCTTCAGAACATAACAAGCTGTTGCACAAAATCCAGTTGCCGTGTGTGTACCCACACATACACAAAAGAGTCATCACGTGGGAGGCGTCTTTGAAAATAGCAGTTTGAAACACCTCATGTCTCTTCTCACCACCACGGTTCCCTTTTAGCATGTTCATGACAACCGTTTTAAGTTGTATACAATTTTGGGATCTTGTTAGTGCCTCTGTGCCCTGAAGAAGCAAGTGTGGAACAGTCTGTGTGTGGCACACGAGCCCTTAACACACACCACGTTCCGGGATTTAGAAATGGGGTGTGTTTATAATGGCTTTGTGGAGCAAACGGTAGGGAATAAATGTGGGTCCTCAGCCCACCCGCACCAGCCAGCTACCTGTGCTACATTGTGGGTTGTGCATTGTGGGCTCCTTGCTGTAGAAATTGCCAGGTTCACACTGGCATGTGATAATAGATGTTCTTTGCTTGCCACAAATCACTAGCAAGCAGCTGTGGATCGTGCAGACAGCGGAGTGCGAAGCGCCTTTTCAGACAGTTCTCTGCTGGAGTGGCCGTTAAGCTGCACTGTTGGCTATTGATTGGCCTTTTGCTTTTTATTTATTGTGTGGGTTTATTTGTTTTTTAATGTAGGTTGGCATATTGATTAAACCTGTTAAAAACTCATTTCCCTTCAGTCTTCAGAAAAGATAAGCAATATGTGCACTGCTTCGTGTGCAAACAAGGGGACAGACATGTG